ATATGTTTATTTAATTTATCGAGAATACAATGTACCAGTGTAGATATTTTCCTTATAATCTGTATCATATTATTTCGGTGCTAAAATATAATGTTGTAGGTACAGAAATTTGGAGTATATATTGTCGATAAACAATGGAAGGGGGTAGGTAGGTAGGTAATGTTGCTATATATTATACTTTTTTTTTAAAGCCAAATCTATAACAATATAGGTGGTTAGTAATTGCCTCAGAATGTCGACATTGTTATTTTTATGAGTGGATGACATAATAAAATCATGTGCAAAAAGTGACTATAATGCAACAGGATATTCATGCATATTGAATTGACTCAACTCACCAGTCACCATAGTGTTTTGCTTTTTGAAAGCAAAGTTACAACATTTCAAGCTGAACTAAATTTACTTTAAATTGAGATATGGATGAAAACAGCAGTGCTTGCCACTTTTTTAGATTTTGAGAAGTGTGATGTATGTATGGGTTATCCAATGATTTGTGTTTTTTTAATAAATTTTTGTGTCTATTATCACCGTCGGGAGCAGTAAAAACATTTCAATCTTTGACTGCGTGTGGTTTCTGGTGGAAAATCGGATCAAATTGGAGAGAGGATCAAAAGTAGAATCATCAAAATAATCTGAAAATATTTTTAAAAATATATATCATAACTTTAATTGAATTAAGTGGGCTCCACCCGATATAGTCTATAGAAAAATACCGTTGAAATATATTGTTAATTGTTATTGCCATGTCTATGCGTATAGAAAATGACAAAATAAGTTGTCAAAATTGTAACGTCGTAATTTTTGAAAAAATAAAAATAAAAATAAAAACAATGTACAAATAACCGTGAAGAACTTAATTATTATATTAAACGTAAAAATAATGATCTCGTCTTTATTAAATAATAATTAGACATAATATGGGCAATAAACAGTGTATACATTTTAATTTCTATCGACTTAAAAATATACTGCCGATCTGCTATCTACTTATTAGTATTATTATGGACAATATTATGAAAAACATTTATAACTTTAATCTGCAATGTTTTTATTTGATCTTGATGATTATGTATTGAAATAATTTACAGTTAGGTTAACATTCAATTAAGCTCATGTCAGTATCAGACTATATAGTATATACATTTATCTAATTAATTAATTGACTGAGTGATTTTACAATATTGTTTATAAGATAATAAACAAATTGTATAAATAAATGTATTTACTTTGAAAATTCTAACAAAAAAACTTTTTCGCAAAAATATTGTAGATCCGTAGAAAAATCAATAATTTATATGATATAGGTAATAAATAATAATATGTAGTTTCTTAATGTACCCGTGGCCAAATCAATTGGATGTGCGCCGCCCAAACGACCGCAGTTTCTCAACCCTTGACTGCGATCGTTTTACCTAACTTACTTATAATCATTAAATAATACTTATGGAGGTTGTGCATCGGTCGCAAACATTTTGTTTTCGGAGCACGTCGAAGTCGAACCATGGTGGATGGAAAACGGTGAAATCCCCAGACACCGGCCCGTAGAGTAAATATATATTGTAATATGTGTTGCAGTAACGATATATTGTACATCAGCGTTAAACCGATGGGCACAATAACAAAGAAAATGCAAAAAAAGGGAGAAAACGCATCCTCTCGTACATCCAACGACGTGAATATACGTGTTTATAGTACCGATGCCCTGCTATGATACTCGTAAACATATAAATCTGCACCCATCAACAGGACCGTTAGCCTATATTATATATATATAATGACGATGGCGGAGAAGTGTAATAATTTTGTTTTATTATTATTATTGTAACCATTGACCCGGTTATTGTTTATGTTATGTAATATTATTGGGTTGTGGCGTATGTTACATCTACATATATTACACAACCCCCTTTTTTACGTACGTTTTAGCACACTTAACACTCCCACATAATCCCAAAAGGTGCGTTTTATTTGTCTTTCCCTCAATAATAATAATAATATTATATGTACCTTTGCTTAATGATTTAGGTAAGTGTATAGGTAAGATTAATTAGTATGTAATAAGTATGCATCCATAAAATTGATAACGTTCAGCAATTCTAAAATTGTTAGGTACGCTTAGTGGAAATTAATTATGGAGTTATTATTGTATAATATATTATATTATATTGGGTTAAGAGTCCCATCAAAGTGCTGCTGTATATTAACACCAGAAAAATAAAATTATTGGATAACACTTGTGTAGGTGACCAATCGACAATCGGTAACTAACATTATTTAACATAACGATTTTTTAGTTTATTTTTGGAAGTATGCATTTGACGTTAAGTTGTAGCATTAATGTTTCATTTGGCTTGTACATGAGTTCATATTGTTCATAATGTTATGCTGTGTTCGCAATATTTTTTGGGCCTGATGTCTTTAGTAAAGCGTATGTAGTACATATTATTACAGTATTTACATATTTATAGTACCTATACTTCATGAACATAAAAGATTTTTACTTTTCATGATATACTCACTTATTAACAGCGATAACTAATAATAATCAAAACTGTAAAAAGGGCAAAAACAAAAAGGTTTTTTTTGTAGGATTGTACTAGTACGATATTATTATTATATTGTCATAATGAACATCACGTATTTAATGGTTTTATTTTTATTGAAAAAAAAATATATATTACGATTTGTAGAGAACAAAACCAACTGGTTGTTACAATTATTTTACTTAAAGGCTTACTGTGCATTTTGGTATTTGTAAATTAGCGATGTTGAGCGATGTTGATCAAGCATAAGGAATTGAAATATTCTAAAAACAGAAAGGACAAAAATAATTATTAAAACTATTAGATAATAGAAGATTTATAATGAAAATAATAATTAAAAGGTTTCAGTATAGGGTATTCGTACTCGACTTCTTGTTGGTCCTATAGTAACCGAACCTAGCTTAGCTTGATGTCATCAGTGATCACTACGACATCCAATGTCTGATCTGATTCCACCTTTTTGGTTGATGGTTCTGGTTCCTGGTTGGTAGGATCCTTAGTTGAAGTATTTCTTGCGTTGAGAGTTGTCCATTTAACTATTTGGATTTGTTGGCTTTCTGAGAGTTTTCTGGCCTCTCGTTTCTCCTTGAGTTTTAACAATTTCTTCTTCATCCTTTTGGCCTTCGATAACTTTTTTGCTGCTCTCGAAAAATATATGGGTTTCGTTGTCGCCATTCTGGACTTTAGGGTCGATTCCCAGTGTCCGGAGTTGAACCCGGACGTCGAGGTATGCCGGCCGACTATGTGTAAAAGCGACTCGCTAGGGAAAAGCTTGTTGTTGTCAGACATCATTAAATGCTCAAGTTTAGATCTAAACTGCAGGGCTGCATGACAGGTTTTCTGCGCTACACTCCTGAGTCCTAGCCGAAAGTACTGCTCGTGCGGTGGTTGCTGGTGTCCCGTCTCGTGGTCTGGGGTACTTTCTGGCATCATGATTGCTTGTTAGATTGATCTTTTTCAACTATGGGAAGACTATACAGTGAGTGGGTGGGCACAGATTCTACTGTGATAATTAGTATAGAACGTTGTAACCGAGGACGTCACGTAACCAAAACTGAAACAGCAAAACAAAAATAACAGTGTAAGAAAACCGTGTGACTATGTGTTTAAAAAAAAAAACAAACAACTGTAACCATGCGACAGCGGTTTTTGTGTGGTTGTTTAAAATTCAAAGCAACTGACAAGAGAAAGCCAGCCTTATTTAGAAATTATTTTTAAACATAATCCCATATTAATAATTAATAATTATAATTGTCCAATGTATGGCAAAAGGCATTCTCAATATTAGTAACTGAATTAAGTCGATTTGTTTCTACCGAAGTGATCTCATGAAGAATAATCATTTATATTATCAATTATGTACTTATAATTACTATCTAATTTTTTTTTTTTCATAAACGACACAATTATTGCTTAAATACCCATTGTTTACTCAGTGACCTAAACCTGTGTACCTATATAATTATATTAACTGTATATAGGCGTAAAATATTCTAAACGTATAATGTAATATACGATATTATATAGGTAGGTTACTTCTACTCGTCGACTATTGTAAAAAAAAAAAACGTTTTATTAACATGATACCTACGTACCTATACATAATAATATTATGTACGTCGTTTAGGTAATTTATTAAGTTTCAATGGACTACAGAAAATATAAAAAAAAATGCAGATACCACGTTTATAGTTTGTGTCGATAATATCTGCTACGTATATATACAATATATTATAATAGTAGTACACGTTCCGCAGTCCGCTGCGGTGAAACGTTCTTATTCCGACGACCGCTTAAAACCGCAACGGCGGCGGCGTCACGCCGCAATCGCGTGTACCCGGCAGACTAACACACAGCAATACACACATATACATCATTATACGGTTCGCCCCCTTTGCGAATCCGCATAATATAATGTAATTAATTTTTTACGTCCGTTTTCTCGACATCGTATTTATAATATATGATGGCGTGTGTGTGTGCGACTCGGGCCCGACGACCGTTCGTAAATGGGATTTAATCCGATCTCCCCGGCGGCGTCTTATCCACAGTATATACTATCATGTGTATTATAGCATAAACATTGTATACTCGTGCTGGAGTTAATTCTTTAAAATCCAACGGGCGTCTAGGCCTTTAAATCTTCGCCGCCGTCGTTTTCTGACGAACGACCTCTCCGCCAAACGTCTTTGTCATAGCACACACACACACACACACACACACACACACACACACACACACACACACGCGTATATCGGCTACGTTTGTGGTGACGTGCGACCCCGGGATGGTGTCGGTTGACATAAAGTCGAAATAGTAATAGTCAGAGGTGTATAGTCGTAATTCGGGGTATTTTTCTTGTACGTAATATATGTGTACATTTTTTTTTTCATTTCACACACCACGTTTTATTTTGTTCAACGGTTGTTTTCATTTTTTTTTTCTGGTTTGTTGCAGGCTATTCGCACAACCCCTATAACGGTGTGGTATGCAACGATAACATTTTAGCGACCGGAGTTTTTTCGTCCAAAGAACTTTGGAGGCTTTCCAAAGGTAGGGAACCACAAAAATAGTAATAATAATAATAATAATAGCATAGGTACAACCGTAGTAGGAGAGGGTTACACGTCCGTATCCGTATATATTCAATGCATATATTTATACCCACTATTATAATATAAAACGCATACATTTATAATAATAATGCTAGCTATATATTATACATGCGAACATCGAGCGAAATAAAACAAACAACGCGGACCTTCTTCTCTTTTATATCCACGCGATTTCCCGTTAAATTTTCCCGATGTTCCGACGAGGTGTAAATGAGACAACAAACATATATACCTACAGCGTTATCATAGTCGCCATAATCTCATGCGACAAGAACGGGTTATCACCACACATGCAATATATTATAAAATATACCTTCTGCAATGTAACGTACAACACGCATACACACACCCGAGTACTCGACAATCCGATGTTAGAAAAAGGCATTTTGTCCGTCGCACGAATTATCGGCATATGTTGCGTACAATTTAATCATCATTGAGTATAAGAAAAAAATGTGTACTGCATTTATGTCTGACCTTATCCACAACTGACGACATAATGTAAATCTGTAATATAATTTCCTCTCAGATTGCGATATGAAAATATCCGTAGTATAAGTGATTGTCGGTAATAATAAAGACGGTTGTTTATCGGTCGACCACAATAATAATATATATTATAACGTTATATTACTTTATGCACGAACCGAGAAGAGGTAAACATAAATTATAATACGATATTATTATGATGTCTTTATCGACCGCGCGCCCGACGAGATCGAGTTGTCGATGTTAAAACTACCTAACGTCATCAATGCGATCATTAAATTAAACAAAACTTTCAATAACTAACCGCCATTTGTTATACGTGTATAGTGATGATGGTCATTCGCCGACGACTCTTAGTTCTCGCCGTATATGAATGTACACGCTTTTCAATCGCCCTCGGACTCTATTAATATAATATCGATTGATATATTAATATATACACGTGCGGCTTATTATTATTATTATTACTTTTATTATTATTACTAGTATACATCGACGACTAGCACATGGCGCTCGTAAAAATATAACGCCTACTCGTAAATCCGGTAGTTTTGACGTGGAGAAATAAAATCACGAAAACCAGCCGAGAACTCAACGCACGTTGCACCGGCTGCAGTGTAAGAGGTACCTACGCGGGATTTCAATCTCGGTATAAATTGGCAGATCGAATTAGATTTCTCTTAAGTTCAGTCTCAATTGTTTGCAAAAATAATGCATAGATACGTATTGGAGTTACTTGATCATAAATATCGGAGTTCGCTGAGCTATGACAACGCGTTTGTGATGTCGATGTCGGTGCTATTGGATACAATATTATTAAATTCTAATCAATCTCTGTATTCTGCAGACGAGTAAAGAACGCAAGTGATCCCTCAATATCAAAATAATTGTATATAATAATTAAAGTCAAAACTTACAACTGCCGAAACTGATGAGACAGTACTGTGGATAAGTTGCTGCAGGGTGTGTGGTTTTTTATTTATAAGATATTGATTGTGCATCTTATATTATGCGACATATACCTATTATAAATGGTTCGCTTATTGATAGCTGCGCGATTATTGTTTTTATGAATGTATGAAAGATTGGATAAAAAAATTTTTGAAAAAGTTTTTTAAGAATTTCCGGTATTTACTATACAATGAATCGTTATTTTTCTTTGGTACAGTTTATGGGAGTAATGCTTGAATTGACTTTTTCAATTGATTTTCGATTATTAATTGACTTCTATAGACGTGTTACGAACGTCAAACTATCTATAAGATCTGTACTAATTGTATAATATTATATCAGTTAGAATCATAAAAAAATTAATTTGAAAATAACGAAAAAATACAATATTTATAACTTATAAATAATAAATTGCAGAATATCACAATGAAATGTGTACATAGACTTAAGTAAATGACAAGTTTTCGAATAATAAATTATTTTATTTTTCTCGAAATGTATACCAAACATACTGCATGCCTTCGACATATTAAATAACAATTCATATTTCACGGTTGAAAAAATACATTTAAACTTTGAGCCATACGCCTTTTGAGAGAGTAGAATATTACTATAAATCATACTATAAATATCAATATTACTAGTTTATTCGTTTGCGTAAAACGTAGAAAATACGTCTGCGCAAAAATAACGCCAGAAATGATCAAAACGCATCATGAACACAATTTACATTTTTCAAAGTCTTATTCTCTATGTTGTATAATAATATATATCAGTCGGCTGACTTGCACAGTGCATTGTGCTATTGCGGCGATTTCAGAAGAAAGAAAATGTCTATTTGGATTAATTTATTATTAAGGCAATATTATATACTGAACGAACTCGGAATCGGTGGGATGAAATCGTATTTCTACAACTTATGATAATAATAATAATATAAAAATTATGCAATGTAAACTGCATACTTGTCAGGACTACAAAGACGTCTCATTGAGAATATAATTTTAATATTGTGTCTAAGAAATACCCCGTGTAAGTCTACAGAAATCAACTAATATTACCCATAAATTATATTAAAATTGCGTGCATACAGCAGACAGCAGTAACCTGCCAGCAATTTAATATGGCTCCATAATGTTAGTAAGGTACGGAATTATTCAGCAATAATGTTGTTGATTAAAGTATCAAAATAATATTAAAAACCGTTTTAAAGAAGTTTTATTTTAGAACCTACGAGCTCATCAATAAATTTTATATCGCTGCAAATATGTAAACGTGCTATAGAGATAATATTATTTAAGATGGTACCACCATCACTCGGTGACTTTTTATTTGGCTCTATAACTTTGCAAACATAACAATTCGACTCACCCAGACCCAGCGCTAGATAGGAGAGGTACTTTCCCATATTGCTTTTGAAATAGTCAAATTCAATTACAAACATTTCGATAATGAAGCGATACAGTGATTATTTAATATTTTCATGACAGATTTTTTCTCCACCGTGTTATAATTACTATCGTATGATAAATTAGAAACTTATGGGGAACGACATATTTTAATTTTCTACGAATCTTATAACAAAAAACTACGAACAGTTTCACTTTTATAGAACGGAAGTTTCAATCCCATCAAAATATATACCAACATAATAGCTTATTATATACTCGCTCGGTATATATAGTCACTAGACTATATCCCTATAGTCTCTACATTTAAGTTCTATAATTATGACTTAGCTGCTTAGGTAATACTGTGTGTAGTAGGTATGTTTATTAAATATAATTGTGCTCAACAGACGCTCTGTAATTTTCAAACGCCTTTTAGCCTGGTTATTTACAATTTAAAATTCTATAAATCACTTTGAGCAGCCTGCTCAGATTTTCCCGGTACACTTCGTAATCGAGGCACGACGCCGAAAACTCATATTTACTGTTGTTTTTTTTTTTATTTAAGTATATATAGTAATATATATCTTTCTGCGTATATTAAAACATCTAGCACAGCAGACGACTGCATATCGTATACATATCGCCTCCTCATAATAATGCGTGTGTGCGTGTGTGTGTGTGTGTGTGTGTGTGTGTGTCTTAAGCGCGTGGTCCCCACCGCCTGCCCACCCGCAGCACCACCTTCGGCCGCGTGCGAGCGCTACCGCCGCCACTGTATAGGAAGATCGCCTGTTTCAAAGTCGTAAGTCATCCATTGGTATCCGCAACATTTGCTGGCACACAACATTGCCCCTTTTAAGGATTAGACCGAGGAGAGACGTCGCGCGCGCACACACACACACACACACACACACACACACACACACACACAAGCGTACACATGTATGTGTATAATATTTATCCGCGGGTAAAGGGGTGACGTATCATTTTCCGCGCGCACACACGTGCGACCGAATTGTTCGGATGTAAAACCCGACAATTGTTCACGTTTGGTATATATATATATAATAATGTAATAATATAGTTTATAATATACTCGGTGGCGGCGGGTTATACCGCAAAATATATGACGATCGCCGACGACGTAGAGATGAGAGAGGGATTGAGATTGCGATCCAGAGAGAGAGGGAGAGAGACAGTTTGATAGGGTGAAAAGAGGGGTAGACTGGGTTGAGACTGAGAGAGTGAGTGGGTTCGCTCGGTTTCACTGTTAATTCCTATAATGGTCAAAGCGCGCGACCACCCCAAGCTCGACGATTTTTAGTTCGTCGTTGTCTTCGGGTCATTGCGCGCGCGACTTATACCGTCTTTGTACCGCTTTCTGGTTTTCGATAAATGTATATAAACCAACTGATTGCACACCGCGATATCGACTAAAGTATTGATACTATATATATTATATATATATAAACTTTGGGTGCGTATGTGTGTTTGTACAGCACTACTGTATTTATAATTCGTTCGATTAAAAAGAAAACGCTGCTTTATTATGTCAAACAGTTTATTAGGTATGCATTTAATAACACTAGAAACCGGAAGATTATTACCTATGAAGTTACGTCAGATTATACTTTGCACGATATGAACTTCGGAAGTGAATATCGTAGAAACGTATTGAAATGAAATCGATTAGAAGCTGATGTATTCATACATTTGATATATTGGCAACAGTATATTTAATATTTCAATATTAAGTATATTTTGTTGTACTTTTAGATAATACTACATAAATAAATATTTTACAATGATACTACGTTTATAGTAAATACCTTTTTGGATTTTAAAAGACATTTTTAAAAACGAATGTTAATTCTGTTTTACAGCGTCTATAATTCAGAATCCAAATGGTATGCCACCCATGAACATTATCAAAATCGAAAACCCAGGGTATTATTGCAGCAGCTTCACCCCGCCAGGCGACCACTCATCCATCATGGCATCTGGCAGTTACAGTGAGTATAATATAATATATTATAATGTATTTTTAGCTACTAATTTTACATTTTTCTGCGAGTACACTCTGTTAACACTAAACACATTTAAAACAATGCTACAGTTACAGTATCACATCGCACTAATCACATTAGAGCCAATACACCACTGCGGTGTTTATACGTAAACTTGAATAACTGTTATGAGGTAGCTGATATCCACTGTGGTTAAAAACGAAAGAGTCTTCGTTTTCTAAGAACCTAGATTCATCCAAAAATGGCCGTACACTTATTAAAAACATTTTTAGTACCAGAAATTTTGCAGCTTTTCCCTACACTTATAAACCTGAAAAGTTAACAGTGTTACAAGTGGACGACACATTATTTCTTTGAATTTTATTATTAACAACAGACATCGCCAGAAAAACATCATTTTAAGTATATTACGTAGTAAATATTGTATAAATGTATCATATACATTATATTATCTTTCTATGTGATATAAGTGATAACATTATACAGAGAAACTATGTGTCGTTGAAAACAGCATTACCGCCGTCGACAGGCACGATTTTCACAGAGCATATAATTATAGAACATGCCCTATATATACATATGTATATTGTATATGTTATTTATATTATAATTTCTAACGGCGTGTGTATATANTAAAAACATTTTTAGTACCAGAAATTTTGCAGCTTTTCCCTACACTTATAAACCTGAAAAGTTAACAGTGTTACAAGTGGACGACACATTATTTCTTTGAATTTTATTATTAACAACAGACATCGCCAGAAAAACATCATTTTAAGTATATTACGTAGTAAATATTGTATAAATGTATCATATACATTATATTATCTTTCTATGTGATATAAGTGATAACATTATACAGAGAAACTATGTGTCGTTGAAAACAGCATTACCGCCGTCGACAGGCACGATTTTCACAGAGCATATAATTATAGAACATGCCCTATATATACATATGTATATTGTATATGTTATTTATATTATAATTTCTAACGGCGTGTGTATATAACAGCAGACGACTGCATATCGTATACATATCGCCTCCTCATAATAATGCGTGTGTGCGTGTGTGTATGTGTGTGTGTGTGTGTGTGTGTGTGTGTGTGTGTGTATCTATATAAAGTGTGCGTATACCGCGGTTAAGTCGGAACGATTGTTATCTCGCTCGGCCAATAGGTATTATAGTTATAATATCGTCTGCGTCCGTACATAAATATACGTATACATATATATATATACAGATATACAATAATAAAGCGCCGAAGTGTGAAAAAAAAAGAAAAAATGTTTCCAAGATGAAGGATAAATGAACGAGTTCTTCGCATTGTTCGCGATTTCCCTTATTAGGTATCAAAATGGACGATTCGCGAAAGCCACCATTTATACAATTTATCATATAGGTACCTTACATATTATATAGAATATAATATATTTTATTATGCTGAGCGCATTATTCGCATTGCCTATATACCTTGGCAATATTATCTTGTTCGCAATAAATTAACCAGTTGGCTATTAAAACTAGGTGAGTAATGAAAATATAAATAAATATACGATATATTATACCGTTCAGCCTATGTTTAATACACATTATTTTTTACAAAAAAAAAAAAAACAAATATTCATTATATACGTTTACAAATTCGCAATCCAGAAGACAAAAGTTTAATTAATAGGTACCTACCTAATATTATGTTAGTGATTCCTAAAATAGTTGAAGTACATTTATCGCAGCATAATGCACCTTGCATTACACTTATACAACTTTATAAGAACTATACACATTATATTCACCTTTTAAAATTCTTACACCATACATTTACCAGAAGATGATTCCAATTTATTATACTGAAAAACGTATGATTATAAAATTATTTGTCTCTATAACTATATGTTATTAAGTTGTTTCTGATTCGACGTACAGTTGTTTCTCTAACGCGTTTAATTAACGTTAAATAGGAAACGCCACCATCTGCAAATAAAGTTTCAAAATTTTTTTAAATTGTTAATATTAACTGATAGCACTTTATAGATTTATTGAAACGGTGAAGCAAATGATCATCACATATTGTTCGATTATACGTGTTCTGGTTTTCTATAAAATAACCAGTCACTGACCCATATAACGACAAATTTTGTTTTGATACCAACGTCATATTATTGTAAACATGATAAAATATTTGTCAATACAACTGTCAAGATAGTTTGGTAGTTTTATTAGTTTGAGTATGGAGATATGTGGCAAACATTTTATTGTCCCTAGCTGTACATTTCTCACAGCGCCACTATTCCCAAAAACAGAATAAATGTATTGTGGTTCCACAAATCGCGACTGTCCGTTGTTGGGTCGGTGTGTCACTGCAGTTGCCTATATATTATGTGTAGCGACCGTTAATGGAAATGGTATGTTTCCATATTGAACATGACAGTAAACGTTCTGTGCGATGTTAAATTAGAAAGTCACGCATGCACTCAGGCTGTAGAACAGATAAATCATTCTATTAGGAATAGACATCATTATCACTTAAAACAATAGACTCAATATAAATAAGTGTATAATAACAACCTATAAGCTAAGCTAAGCTATTATACTAACCTACGTATACAGGGATCGGGTATAATTTAGTTTAAATGAAAACGTATTACAGATTGGTAAGAAAACTTGTAAGCGTTTTTTGTATATTTGCATATAACATAATATAATATGTCATAATTGATAATATAATAGTACAATCGTATACCTACGACTCAATTATACGAGAGGTGCCTACACGGGATCCGTTCTCAACGTTTTTAGAGACGCATAAAAACTACATGCATTAAATCTATTACTAAATATTTTTTTGTCCATAGGCCCGATGTCGATCCAGAGGACACAGAGCCCATTAAACGAGCCCAGAATCAAACGAATGCGGAGAATGAGCTCCGCCGAAGATACAGAAATCGATTTGGGCGGCCAGAGAGATAAATCCAGTTCGGAGATCACATATTATGGCCAGAGTCCAGCATCCCTATCTAGTCAAACCAGTTGGCACTCGGACATCGATCATGGTAAAATGTTATATTCGTTTGTTTATTTAAAAAAAAAAACGGATCTATAAAGTAACACTCATTAATTGATTAATCTCCGTGTTCTAAAATAGCAAATGTTATAACATCAATACATTCATAGTGTATGTGTTATGTGTAAGTGTAATTCGTCGCTGAATATATCCTAGCGCTAATCTAATTCAGAAATAAAAAAAAACACAATGATATAATATTCTACTATTTACGAATTTGTATATTTGTCCTTTACGACAGTATTCAATGTTACAGCCCAATCGTATCATATATAGTTTATTGTCAGTAAAGTTGTTTGCTTCGGTTACCTATTCAATCCGATACTAATATGATAGCATGTACAAATATGAAAAATTCGTACAATCTTATCACACGCGTTGTCAATCGAATACTTATGATGACCGTCCACTAAAATCTGGACACAGACTCACAATATATTACATATTGTGTATCTACCTATGCGAATTGGAATAAAAACCTAACTAAACGATAGTTAAACATTTAAAGCTAAGTTAAAAAATTGATTTTTTTAAAAAAAATTTCTATAAGCAGTTATTTTATTTACTAATTAACCTAACTAGTTAAAAAATCCAATTTAACAACTTGGTTTTCTCCAATCAAAAAAACAAATAAATATTTCTTGATTTAATAATTTAGTTCACCCAAACATGTAATTACTTAAACAGTTACAGCTAATATGTAATAATATGGATTAGTAAAGGATGCATTTTTAACAAAATATTTAGTTATTATTAAAAAAAAAAGAAAAAGAGCGGGACAATATTACTCTGATTATGACGTGTGCATTTTAGGTGATCCGTCATAATTGAAAACAAATTTAATCAACTTTTTTTTAACTGAGTCGAGTTAATATTTTTCTCATTAACTTTAAACTTTTGGGGTTAAATGCATTCTTTGTTAACTATTTGCTTATTATATCTTAACTTCTTCTCTCAACTCAACTTAACAAGCTCAAGTTAATTTTTCATTAATTTTTCCATCTATTTGAATGTCATATATTATATACATAATATCAAATACTATGTAGGTATTCCTGGCCAACACTCAGGAAGCATAGCGTCCTTGGCGTCTGCCAACTATTATGGTTCGGCGACATCGGGACCCGAACAACACAGTCCAGCTAAGTACCCGGAGAACGGGCATGATACACTTTCGGACTTTGTCACATTTGTGTGTCAAGAAGCGGAGAGCTCTCAAGGCGCACAGGTATGTAATGTCGCTGCATGTAAAATAAATATGTACTTATAATTATTATATATTGTGTAATTATTGTACCCCAAAATATTAACTTTTTATACATATTATATTATTTTCATTCAATATTTGGTTTTCAATATTATATTCCACAATAGCGAAACATTAAACAAACATATATTATATTCTTAACAATTGCTGATAAAGTGATAACATAATATTTATTCGAGTTTACGATATTCGGGTGGCAATGAATAGCTTGCCATTTTTTATTTTATATTTATTTCATAAACAGTAATTTAACTCTGTTAATATAAATTATGTCCCAAATGCTCCGTATCAATCCAAGAATCTCTGTGACATATCAATATAATTTAAATGTTTTTTTGTCAATAGCAATCAATTTGAAAATTCCGATTTAACGGTAAACATTTCTTATAAATTACTGTTGACAAAAAATACAATGTAATATATTGATTTCCCACTAAAATAATTTGGATGATACGAGACTCTTGAAACAATACTGTGTACTACAATAAATTTTAAATTTATATTCTAAAAGCTTTAGGCCTTCAAACCTTATAAGATTCTCTCCTGTACATAAAGTTAACATAGAGTGATGTAAAAAAGTCCAAGAAATTCGTTGCATATTCGGTTAGTTGTAACTTATAAACTTAAAGAAACATTTTTTATCACACATATTTAGTATTTATCTTGTTTATCTTGTTTATTTGTGTAAAAGAATATTATCATACTGGTTTAGTTCATTTAATTGAATTATTCTTCCACCCCATTTTACTTGTTGAGCTACTTGTGAATAATATTTTTTTTTTAACATTGGTAGAACATATTAAATCAGTGAAAACCTGAGATTTATTTACGAATAGCAAATCGTATTGATGATGATAAATACAATAATATACCTACTTGAAATTAAATTCAACGTCCATAAAAACTAGTTAATTTTTGGAATAGTAGTTATAATATTTATCCCAGAATTCAAATATTATATAGGTCAAAAAAATATGTACCTAAAATATATTAAAGCTGTTAAATTAATATAATACATGTTTGTTTTAATTTCCCCGCTGGTAAATGTCATATCTTCTGTCATTAGTCATGTATAATATTATGTACATAATATAGCGAGTGTATTATATTGATTTCATCTAATAATTATTATTAATTACCGTTTTCTGTTTTTTTTTATGCCCCACGTAGGGATGGGCCTATGGAAATCAGGTTTTACATTAATTTATACATATTTATATATATATATATTATACAGTAAAAATATTTTAAAATTTTAATATTAGGTTAACACGCAGGTATTTCCGACACCGATGTCGGAAAATATTAGAATTGTATAATGTATAGAATTTATTATATGATGTGCAGTCTACAATCGTATACTATGTCCAATGATGTGTACTAATTCATACCGTTTTTCTTTTCTCTATTGCAACGCAGGCGGGACCCACGAGGAGTCCAAAAATGGCCCAATATTATCCGAGTACTATGCTACCACCACCCCCTCCACCGCCCATGGCGCGGCCAGTAGCCATCATTCGATCTACAGGTAAGTTTTTACACAATTAAATAACTAATAATAAAATATACATAAAATGTCAGAAAAACTAGGGCTATACTAAACTTCTTTCTATAATTATTATCATATAATATTAATTTAGATCTTCTAGAAAAGAAAATTAAATTTTACTTAGTTTTATCATTTAAATTAAAGTTCACTGGAACCAATTCTCATGTTATCTATGGACCAACAGGGAATCAATTCGTATGTACTCGAATACAACTGCTAATACCTATTGCCCACCTGAGAACCAATTTGGATATTGGAAACCAACTAATAGGTCAACCCTCACCCGTCAATTGCTTGATACAATTGAGTTTACATTGTATACAAAATATGTTCAATGGTAATACATTGGTTTTGAAATCATTCTTACATTGTTCTCGACAAATTTACATGAGGAATATTGTTGTTGTTAATTTTGCAACATTTAATTTCTATCTGAAACTTAGAAGAATAAGTAGACTAGTGGTGTTTCGAAGGTCTCCCGAAATCTCGCCCTCGGCAATCGATTTCGTGGGTCTTGGCACATTGCCACCATAACCGCACACTACGACGAACACGGTTATATTATACACCATGGCTAGGCCTTTTTTCGCGTCCTATTTTTCTTACCTTCGAGCGTAGTACTCAATCGATAAAGCTCACATATCCTAATATTATTCAATAATAATAATATATGTACAGCATTAAAATTAGCATAATGCATTCGGTTGATGTGAACAGCGATATATTTTATTTTCAATTGCCTAAATATTATTTGGATTATTTTGGTTTTTACTCTACCTAAAGAGGTAGAAATATATATTTTTTCATTTTTCAATTTCTTTTTTACATAAATAATAATGTACCAACAGATTTTTATATGATATTATCTAAGCCGCAAGTACATACTAGGCATTTTTTAGAACCTAGATAATACTATAATATAGTAGTACGTATATATAATAATGATCGATCTGTGTACAAAAATATCACACATTTTCATTAAAATATAAATTCTAGTCATTGTTTATTAATAATTGACTTACATTGGTTGCAGGTGAACTGACCATTGCTCCGTCCAACTCGCCGCCGACATCCAACACGCCGCCGATGGGCGGCGGAGGCGGCGGTGACGGATCGCCTGGAGGCGGAAGAGATTCCGATCAAAGTCCGCCGCCGATGAGCGGTCAACTGTCCGAGTCACAGCTATCTGGCGGAGGCCGAAGTGTGGTAACCGGCGGTAGCCCTTTTGCCGTGTCCGCCAACCGCGATTACCATTTCTCGCACATACAACACGGCCAGGTACCGTATACGTTCAACTTGCCAGCTCACGATTACAACCCGTCGAATTATTAACGTTTTTATTTTTCTCTTACCATTTTTTTTTTAATTTGTTTGTTTGTTTGTTAGTTTGTTTTTTTTTCGTCCGTTTGTTTTCACGCAATAACAACAATGTTTTTTATAAAAATATGACCTAACACATCGCCTCCCCTCGCCCCGTGCCTGTGACGTATATATTATACTCATACATCATATTATAGTATATAGGTTTTGATACACTGCAATAGCCAGGTTGCATGAACAATCACTAAAAAATTAACCAACAAATATATTGAGCTAATGGTCCCTTCAATATGATTTAGTGGCTCATGATCGGTCCATTAAATTTTATTAAACCATTAAATTAATACATTTTTTATGCAACCCGGCATTGCATGTAGCATTTTGTGTTTTGTTCTTTGCGATTTTCATACCAAACTATGTTTTTATTCGTCCTGTAATCTTATTTATCTTCGTTATCGAGTATTACCTATTATTATTACTTTTTTTTTTTATTATTACCATACCCGGTAATCCGGTCAACGAGTATACCGCGGCGGGTCAGTCTGTCCAGGTTATAACCATATACCACAGACCACAGTATTATAATAAATGCCTTTTAATTATTATACGACAAAACCGCATGGTTTATTTACAGTAAAATTCTTCTCAGACCTAGAAATGTACGTAGTTTTTGAACTTTTTTCGTACTCCGATCCGACACGACATTTGACCAGTTAACAATCCATTATACAATAATATAAATGTACGCAGACATATTATGTGTTTATGCATATAATATATACGTCGCTTGACCACCAATATAATAATAATATATTATACAGACGCCGCCCGGAAAAGTACACCCCATTTGTCCGTTCAAGCTTTGCTTAGCCGGCAGTATTTTTGTGTTTTATAGTTTGTTGTTGTTGTTATTGTTGTTGTTTTTTTTATCGTTTTTTATTTGTTGTAACCGCACACGGTCCCGAATACCGTCTGTTTATATATACATAATATACCTACGTCTGTAAAGATTTTGTTTTGATATTAATTATATCCAACAATAATGTATATTACTTATTATATTATTTTACATCCGTTCTCGTTTTCACCGCGTGTTGATAATAATATGTAAAAACGCGTTCGCCCTCCTATATAATATATTATAATAAAAATAATTATTATTACGATGCGAAACTTACGCGCAGTTTAGTAACTTTCATTTTTTGGTTGTTTTTTTTTTTTTTGTAATTTATAAATAATATTATTATTGTGTATAACTTCTCTTTTTGTATAATCGTCGTTAGAATAAACTGTTTTGGTACCTACTACAACTACCTATACTAATATAATAAATAAATATGAAACATTTTATTGCTGTCAAATGTCGGGAACGCCATAGTAGGTATACGAGTGGACCACGCGGTTTATCAAATACTAAAATGTGCCATTCCATTAGGTTTTAATAATATTATTACTATGTTTATTAAAGTCAATGCATAAATGTAAATGTGTGTGTACATAAAATACTAAAGTGCAATAAATAAATATCCATGGTAGAGAGATGCAGTTTTTAAATTAGGTATAATACTTATACGTAGTACCTATATATATTATATATACTATAAGCCCATGTGTTATTATTATTTTTATTAATTATTATTATTATTATTATTATTATTATTATCATTGTAATATATTTTATAAGTAATGATTATACAGTTATTATTATTGTCAGTACATAATTAGTTGTGTGTTCGTGTGAGTCTACCTAATGTATAGATGATATTGTGAATATGTTTATATTAATATTATATAGATCGTCGACCTTGACTTATGTTACAATATATGTATATAGGCGTAACTGCAACGTTGTCGCTGTCAAATATATTATAATTATTATTATATTATTACATTTCCATCTGTAGCGTTTACATAGGTAGAGAACAAAAAAAAACATCAATCGTTTTATGTTTCAAAATCAAACGTTCATTGCGCACGCATTTGGTGGTGCGAATAAATAATAAATATAGTAAGAACTGATAATTACAATTACCCTATTATATTCACTTGATTCGTGTAAATTATTTGTATATATTTAAGAAAAAAGAAATTCGCAAACATTTGATAATATCCAGTTGATAATAATAATTAATATCATACTATGCCGATTTTAAACAATTATTACGTGAAACGATTATTTCTCTGACTTTGAAGACATTATTTTTGTAAACATTTTCTCAGTTCTCTGCAGTAATTGGTTATATTATGTTTAGTCAGTTTAATAATATGAAAAAAATCTTTAAATTTTTTTCGTAATGTTAATATAATATTTAAACCCTACAAAATAGATGTTGTTATTTATTCTTTAAATTTGAATTTTTTTTTACAAATGTAAACTTAAATTATTTTTTTTTAAACTAAAAAAATACACCTCTCGTGGAATAATTTTTGTCGATATTGCAGTTTTAAATGGTGTTATTTTTAATTTTTTTAATAAATTGTATTATTCATTACAAGTTACGACATTTAAAAAATAAACGTTTCACAACAGTGAAATCCTCTTCTATAATATTATCGTGTTTTCTCGTTCGTTCGATTTATCTTACAAATTAATTCCATTGAAAAAATTTAAATACGAAAGATATTAAAAAAAAAAAATTGAATATCTTTCAAACGTGAACCAGAAATTCCAGTTTACTAAAATAATATGATTATAATAAACACCGCGTAGGTATACAAAGACACTGTATCGTACGTGTTTCTCTCATTTATGACTTGGAATATTGATCAAGTGATATTTCTCATACCAGTCATACCTACAATGATGCATATATATTATTATTATTAAATCTACAAAATCACTTGCAATCGAGCTTGCAGTTCAAAATTAACATCGTCACTAATTTAAAATAAAAATACTCCACCTGAGATTTCATACATTGTACGCAATTGAATAATATTATTACGCGGCCACAATATCCGAGAAAAAAAATCATAAAATAATAACAAATAACTCGAAATATTGGAGAAAAAATATCAAAAGATTTCCTTTCAAGTCTTTGGGTGCTATATTCGTGTGATTCGAAATCGTCTCTCGAAACGTTTTTGTGTCGCGTTTGGACTTAGAGATGGTCGACCTCAGTATTGCGCATTGTCGGGTACGCACTCATCATATATTATTCTGTATGTATACGGCGGAAAATGGAGAGCCGGAGCAAACCTCGTGGGCGTTTTCACCGATGTTTTTTTTATTTATCTTTAACGTGCCAAGGACAAAGTTCCGTCGGCAGTAGGTCGCGCTTGGAGAATTGCATGCGTAATAATATTATATATCCACGTTATTTTATGTAAGCCATATATTTTATTATGTTCTATAAATAGGAACGATAATATAACTATGCTCTTGTATAAAATAAATACAGATAATGATTTATAGTAATATTTTTTTTATTTCATATTATGCGCTGTTCAAAATACTCTACAAAGAAACCGAAAAAAAATTATATATAAAAATACAATCCATGAATATATCAAGTTCGACACATATATATATATTTATATATTATATTATTATTCTAGAGTAAGCCGAGACGACCAAAAATATCGCGTTAAAATCCCAGTTGAAAATTAAAACCCATGTACTTGAAATATGTTAATATAAGTACTTATAGGTATAATATTATTTTAATATTTACAGTAATATGTACCTACTATGTACTCACATTGTATGAAATACTACAAATCAATCTTCGTGTAATATTATCGTTTCGTACTCTGCAGACTATGCTATATACATATTATATACATCATTGTGTCGTCATATAATTCTATTCGATATTATTGTTATTGGTTCTTGTATTGCCCCACAAGCTATCCGAAAACACCCTACCACCAGCCATTCGACCCCCGTCATAACTATGTAACTATTGAACTAGTTAATCTTTCCTTTATTATTTTTATATTTTACTATTTAGCTTCGTCCGATAATTGAATAATGTGAAACAATGATATATATATATATACGTAATAGAAGATATTCATAAAGTTGAACGATCGACAATTTTTTATTATTTCCGTAGAAGGTCTACCTAATATTATTTAGAAAATACATTATAATATAATTATGATATGTATTATGTTTCGTTATTGTTTCTACTTGTTAATAGATGTTTGTGGTACGTAATAATTCATTTGTTTTACGCATTGGTAATTGTATAATATGAATGTATCGATTAATTTAAAATCAAGAAAATAAACAGTTTTAGTGATAATGTTATATATTATAATACATACGTAATAATGATATTTTATGATAATATACTCCGATTATTAAATTATTGTTCTGAAGAAAAAAAAACTGCATAAGTATATATATTATTATATAGGTATAGTGTAATTGTATAATAGTGCGTTCATTTTTGTTTTAAAATGCTAATAAGTTTCTGTTTAATTTTTATATATATTATATTGTACCAACATATTATATTATTATTATTTTGTAAAACCAATAAGTTTTCTACTACCAAAGTATTTATATATTATATATACTATTTCTTTTTGTATAACTATGTGTAGTAATGAATAGAATCTGTTTTGTGATATTGAAACTCCTTATATTGTACATATACATACATATATACGCATAAAAAAATAATGCTGCGTTTTATTGCTTCGTCCACGTGGCTTCGGTATAGAGGTTGGTGACACCGATTATGATATTATTCTCCGTTATTATATATATATTACAATAATACATTTTATTGTAAAATTTGTAATAACGGTAAAAATTATAATAACCGAGATAATATTATGTGATGTATTGTAAGCGCCTGCAAGTGATCGCTGACAATTATTATACAATTGTACTCACACGTAGGTATGTGCGTAGTATTGCGGTAATGGCGACATATTTTGCGGCGTCGACATATCTTAATCAATTTTCATTACTTTCCGAGGATAAGCGTTTAAGTCTCTTCGTGTAGGCTGCACTGGCCAAAGCTGTGCCAAGAAGTCTCCGAGATATACAAATAATATAATAATGTTAAATTTGTTTTTTCCTCACTGTCTCAAATATTTGTACAAAACGGGTCCTTATGTATATACCATAATTATTATCCAATATACCTGTTGCACTACGAGTTTGTTTTTGCGTCGTTTCAGTGCTCATGTGTGTGCTAACCAATAATAATAATACATGCATACTCGTCCGTATTTGAAGCATTACTGCAACTAATAGTTTTTATTTATTTATTTATTTTAACATTGTTATATTAACGACTTATGCACAATACCATAGATTAAGACTATATTAATTAGAGTTAGAATGTTTTTGACCAAAAAATTTACTTATGGCCTTAAAACAAACAAATATAACACGGTAAAGTGCGTTACAAAATATTATTGTAATATTCATTATCCATGAAAAATAGAAACAACTCTTTTTTATTAATTACCATAATAACTAAATGTAGGACTTTTTTTATTAATGTGGGGTTTTTAAAAATGTTCTTTTAAATCTTAAATCTTAATTATATAGTTAAAAAAAAATTACCGTGCATCCTATAGCATTTACGAAAAATTACCTATACTAAGAAATGTATAAAAAATAGCAGTTTTTGCTAAGCATTTTTAAAAATACAAAATACAATGTGATATAGGCTTTTGATACTAGGTTCTGCATGATAGATTAAAATTATTTGATCTGAAATATGCACTACTACAAGAAAAAAAAACGAAAAATGTATAAGTTATAAACATCCTGACTCTAATAGAAATACTTCAAAATAAGTCTTACATCTAATAAGCATGGCCGCATGAGTTTTGTTTTTGTCACAAAGCCACCGGGGAAAGTATATCAATATTCAGTTTAAGCACACAATATAAGTATATACAGTATGTACGAAGAAACAACTTCAGTTTATGGATTTGTCCTTATAGTGCTTAATCCTTAGAGAAATCCTGAATAAATGGCCGACTGAAAATCGGTCTAACGATCTGTATATTTTCGTATTTTTGAGCAAGACATTCTGGAACCAATTATATTTTAAACACGTTTATGGGAGTCCCGGCAAACATATACCTACAATTACCAACCATTTGGTACTCGCTATTGACTCTGACGGTGTAATCGATTTGGCTGTAAAACATAATTTTTGATTTCTTTCGAGGTTATTGCATTCGATTGAAGTAATATTATTTTTTTCATATTTAATTTATTGTACCTATGTACTTGAAATAAATGATTAAATAATAATGTAGAATACACGGAGTATATAATATTGCATTTAAGTGTGTACATCTACGGCCTTAGTCAAATACAGAAATAATTAATTAACGATCGAGGCTAACATTTCCGATATCTCTGAATCCCCCAAATCAACTATAGATAAAACGGTACCGCATTATTGTTTTAGAAAAACTTTTAAGATTTGTTGTAATACCGTGGCCTCACTTACTACTGCCTGGATTCAATTCTTATGTGTCAAATGAATAATAGTTATAAAAATTAATACTTGATAACTTTACCGGTGACGCTTTGTATGCATTTTGTTGTCCGCAGATACTTAAACGATCGCACCTGCCATTTAACCTAAATGATTGTGTTTAGTCTGCGCAATGTGCATAACATCAATAACTATGAGGGCTGAGAAGTTGTTGTACTTTAGGAAAGTATATGTGATCACATCAAACTAAAGTTATTTATATCACAAATTACAATGTATTTATTTAGATAACTGATTATTTATTTTATAAAAACATATATCAAAACATAAATATACCCTACACCAGCGGTTCCCAAACTTTTACAACCGCGGCACCCTTGAAAAATTGTTTGTGTTTCGCGGAACCCTAATGTTTAATCCAACTCAACTTTAATTTTACTAAATAAAAAAAGGAAATTCAATACTCTAAACTCTAAACTCTCAACTCTAAATAATATTTTAATGATATTGTTAATGACTTTTCATTATTAAAAAAAAATTTTCAATCAAACATTTTTTAAATAACAAACATTAAATAAACATAATTTTCTCAATAATCTCATACATCTGGCGAAACCCTCGACATTGTCACACTTTGGGTAACGCTGCCCTACACAATGTATTTATGAAATTACATAGGTACACTAGGGAGCGTGTAAAATGGACGATCCGTATTTCAGCCAAAAAATAGTAACTTAGACGCAAGTACATTAGCAGAACCGTATTTTATTCAAACCTTATTTTAGCTGACAAATATTTTGACAGAACCGTATTTTAGACGACAATTAATATTGTGACCAACTTGAGGTGCTTTTGCATAGCAAGTCGAGGGATATTTTGGTTCTTTTTGTCTAAGCATAGAGCAATGTGCGAGTGACCACTCGGGCATCACTCTAAATAATTTACGATGTTTCTACACGTTGGCGATGCTGCTGGATCTCTGGTATAAATATAATAATTATAACCGTGGTTGCCACAATAATATTACCATGCACATTTGCCGTTCGGCTGAAACATGGATCGGACTAAATATTTATCGGCTAAAATACGGTTCGGACAAAATATGATTAGGATTAAGTATTTTTCTGATCAGATATTTTTCGGCTTAAATAATGTTAGGTGAAATATTTTCGGCTGAAATAATATCAGTTACAATATTTTAGGATTTTGTATAGCCCCTCGGTACACTATATAGTGCTTAAAATAGTTGATACCGCAAAAGAAAAAAATTAAAATTAAAAATGAACAACTAGAAATAAAATTACATTTCAAATATTATTAAAGTAATAGAACATGTGAACCATAAAAACCCATATTATTGCAGCAATAAGAAAATGATTTTAAAATAAATCACAACGACTTTTCCGCCCAGTGCCGCATAGTACATTTCACATAATTGTTATTACTACCAAATGTCGGTATATGACATCTTCCATTATTTTATACCAACTGTTATTCTCACCGTTGTTCTGTACACGTATGTTGTATGTGTGTATATTACACAACAGTTGTTCAGCTATTCGAACATCGGCACCGTGAACACTGTAACTGGAGTGATAAGTCCCACCAACCTGAGCCTGCTGTCCAACCCGGGCGGCAGTCCGTCGTCGTCTTCGGGCGGCGGCAATGGCGGCAGCGGAAGGTCTCGCGGACACTCGCAAACGACGTTACCGCGGTGGAATACACAGTGCTCGTCTGGGCCGCCATTCATCACTCTCGACGAGGACTACATGATGACGCCACTGATGTCTGGCAACGGCGGACAAGGCAACGGTGGCACACTGATCGACGACGGCAAGTATTATTTATGCATATTATTTGTAGCTTATAAAAGGAAAGGTATACAACAAAGGTGGCTATTAACTATGGCTGTCTAGTTAAAAAGTTATTTGTTTATACTTTTCAATTTAATAAGTTAAAATATATCCATTGTAATAACTTAACTTTTTCCAGTTAAAATAAAAATTGATGAGTCAAGTTTAAATTATGCTTACATACATAATACCCAATATATTTATATCGGTAAATAACTGCAGATTAGTTGAAACAAATTAACTATTTTTTTATTTATCTCGTGATATACAATGATTTTAAATACAAATAAAGAAATAAATATTCTTTGGTTTAATAATTTGGTGTAATTATAAACTACAGCTAAGCCTACTCTGTCATCTTAAATAATAGTGTCTCAGGTGACGACCAACTTTCGTTCGGTTCGGCCAAACCACACCCATCGATTAAATCGGTTTTCATTGATTTTTGTCATCAACTTTCGTTTCCAGCGATCTACCACAGCCAAAATATTGCCTTACCTTGTTAATCTTAGCAAAATGCGATCTATAGGCGGTTGCTTAATGATAAAGTTAACCACCATTATCAGCCATTTCCGTTGCCTGAGAATTACCATTATTTGAATGGAGTATAGTGTGTACAATAAGAAATTAATATAGGATGCATTCTCAAAATAATGTTTATTACCAATATAAAATAAAAATAAATTAGTTACACAATCACCCAAATGATAATTAATTAAAATTATTTTTTTTTAACTGAGTTAAGTTAATAAAAGAATGATTAATTAGATAGCGAATTCCACTATGCAAAATGAAAATCTAAGTTAATATTAGACATTAATACGAGGTATATTCGAAAAATTAGGGCTATTCTCTTATATTTCAAAATCGACAAGTCGTAACACGTTTAGACTTGTGCATATCTGTACGTGCACTACTTGTGCAGTTATTTCAGGCGTTGTTTTGATTCAGTAATATTCCTAGTTGTGCGTACAGTAGCCAATGTCCGCGATAATCGTTGCTCCTGTGAAGTTCGCGCTGTAATAAGATTTTTGTGTGTAAAAGGATCTTTAGCTGCTGAAATTCATCGAGAGTTATGCCAAGTTGGAACCATGGACTTACTGTAATGAGTGAAGGAAAGGTTAGACAATGATGTCGTGATTTCAAAAGTGGACGAACAAATGTTCACGACGAGGAGCGACTTGGTAGGCCCCCAGTATGCAAACTGATGAAATTGTTTCTTTGATTAATTTGTGGTATCCAAGTTTTTCCGTGTCAGTTGTGTAGACAGTAGTGCGTCCAAGGTTAGGAAATTCATCAGCCAGAGCACTAATCGGCAACCGACGATCAGATTGCAGTTTTTGGTCCATTAGAGAAACAATTTTATCAGTTCGCATACTGGGGGCCTACCAATCCGTTCTTTGTCTTGAACATTTGTTCGTCCATTTTTGAAATCACTACACCATTGTACAACCTTTCCTTCACTCATTATAGTAGGTCCATAAACTAGGCATAACTCTCGATGAATTTCAGCGGCTAAAGATCTTTTTGCACACAAAAATCTTATTACAGCTCGAACTTCACAGCTGGCGGGAGCAACGATTATCGCGGACATTGGCTACTGTACGCACAACTAGGAAAATTACTACTGAATCAAAACAACGCCTAAAATAACTGCACGAGTAGTACACGTATAGATATGTACAAGTTTAAACGTGTTACGACTTGTCAATTTTGAAATATAAGCGAAAGGCTAACATTACTTTTCGAATATACCTCGTATTTGTTTACCTTTTCTCAATTGTTGTCCACAAGGAGGAGAATATTTTCGAAATACTTGCATACTTTACCAATAGCATATAAAACTCCAATATTAATTTCGCATCCAACTAAGGGGCAAAGATGCGGTTAATTTCTAGTGGGGCACGGTGGACATTCAATAAGCTACAAGTAAAAATTAAAGCTATTTTAAACATGACGAAATGAAAAGATATGATCACAACTTAGTGATACTCAATATCGTAGAAAAAGGTGTTCCGAATAGTTTCATTGGTTGTAATATTATGCTATGACTTTATATTGTTATAATATGTACTTATTGAAGTATAAGATGATCAAAAGACATGGAAGTCTCCTAACCTCTTAGCAATTTATTCAATTCGTTGTGATCATAGTTATTTATTTTGTCATGATTTCAACTATACAAAATTACATTACAGGGAAAACTGCCAAGTGTCATCAAAGTGTTGGATTTTGTTAGAAAAATGGCATCATTGGTCATAAATTATTCTCTAAATCATGCACAGTGGCGTATAATGGATTTAATTTCGGTAAGGGGGGAGGTTATAGAAATTCCTAGCCGAAATTCCCAATTTATAAGTCATAATAATAATAATTCTACACAAATATTTATATTAGGGTTTGAACTTGTAATCCTTCTCCCTATTATGTTGGTAAAATATGCCAAATTCTCCACCTTCCGGTAACGTAATATAATATAATTGGTAGAACCGCAAAATTGTGCTGCTATACCTACATTCTATGTATAGTTAATTTAGTTAGCAACAGATTAAACCTATATAATACTGTTTACTGCATACGTACAAACATATTTAATATTTCAATTTGAAATCAATTGTTTTTGTACTTTTTACAGACAGATACTTTAACAGCGTAGTCCACCAAACGGACGGCATGGATAGGATGGACACAAGCGAATCTCAACACATCCAATCGTCGAATTCAGGTGGTAGAAACACCCCGAACTCGGTTGACGGACAACAAGACAACATAAGCAAACCGCAGACGTAGCCAATAAATTTATGGAAATTAAATATTCGTATTATATAACATAGGCAATTCATTCTAGTTAATTATACTATCATTATTATTATTATTATTATTATTATTATTATTATTATTATTATTATTATTATTATTATTATTATTACTACTATTATGAACATTTTCATACTTGTAAAATAAATATATTTTATTACAATTTAAATAAATTTAAATCAAAACAAAACCGAAAGGTCAACTTTATTGTTAATCGATTTAGTCAATAAGGATAATTTATAAAATAAAGTGTATATCTTTACTGTGTTTATAAGTCACAAACACAGTTATATTAATTAAATCCATTGTTTTTTTACTAGGTTATATGAAGTTTGTTTTATTTCAACACTTACGAATTTGATTAAAATATATTTACACAGAAATATCAGATACATGGGTTAAAAACTTAAAAATGTATATGAATATTGTTTATGCTTGGAGTAAAAGTTTATGTTTTGGTCATAAATAAATCATTTATAAAATGGTTTAAAGTGTTTAAACCCTCTTTTTTATTGAGAAAAATATTTAAACTTTAAAGGTCACCACGCCCTCATGCCCCCCCCCCACCCGTTAAGTATTAGGGTGAATCAAACTATTATATAACTTGATGGTAAGAACATTATCTGCATTCCTATGTTAGTTTTTTTACGATATTTTAATTTTTAAGTGACCGATGAACATTTTTAATATATTATATATGCACAACCTTTTTTTTACATGGTTTCGGCGACAAAGGGTGGTCCTGACCTGTCAATAATTTTACCCCTTCGCCGTCATCATTATTGTACGTTGCACTTCGGCATACAAATATTAACTTAACTAATTATTTAGTAGGGTAAATTACGTCTTCAACCTTATTGGCCGGATTGCATCCTCCCTTCCTAGTGTTCCTTGTTGCTGTGTGTTGCGTGAATCAGGCTGTCGATGAAATCATGATGGCGATCAAGTTCTCTGGTGTGTCGTGCGTATTATGGAGTGTTTCGGTTTCCCATCTCCTAGAGAACCAAGTATCGTATACGCATATGGTGCGGTATGCGTTATCTATCGGGTGTCCATAGTACCAACACTTGGAGGTGCATAGGTCACCAAATCTATTTAGATATTCGGAGAAGCATTCATGGCCACACAGGTTGAGTCAAATGAAAATTTGTCTCGTCGTATTTCAGTAGAGACCACGATATGATATCTCTTATAAGGAAGTGGGTCCATCTTCACAGCCATGTTGTCATAGTTTCTTCTTCTGCCTAGGGAAGCTCGAAGTTCTTGTGTTTGTAGAATCGGTTGTTGTGGTCTTTAGCCAACAGTTTCAGAGGAGCAATGCCTGTAATTACCGATATGATGTCGTCGGACTTCGTTAGACTAAGGCAGAGTGGAGACATATTTGTCTTAGCACTTTTGACATGGTGGCCCATGCAGGTGCACACATATCTTGGGCCAATATAATAGGATGGAGTTCACCACCTTGCTATACAGTTTTATTTCCCTCTAATTGGTGACACTTATGTTGGCCATGATTCTTGCTAGTTCTAAGAAACTTTGCTGGCCTTCTCCATAACGGTGTTCGCGTGCTCCTTAAACGTCCATTTGTAGTCTATCGCCAGTCCTAGTTTTATTTAGGGCTATTTATTTAAGGCTGCTTTTAACTTTCAATCAATAGCCATTGAAGGTGGTGTTTATGTTGTTGTTCGTCCTTGTGTTGATAATGATCATGGTCTTTCACTTATGGATAACTAGCTTCAGTCCTACCTCAGTCAACCATCGGTGTACCTTTTCAACGGCTAGCGTAAGCATTTGCCCCAGAGCAATGTTGTCAATTATTTTGGCAACTAGTGCTACATCGTCAAAAGCGATGAAAGAAACCGAAGGAATTTCGGTTCTGAGGAGTGAATCGTATATTATGTTCCACAAGGTAGATCCGAAGACGGAACCTTTTAGAACATCGCTAATGACGTCCAGCTGAGTTCAGTCCCCTTTAGTGTGGAACATAAGCACTCGACCATTTAAGTAACTACTTATGTTTCTTTAATGGTAGGTTGGCACTTCTTTGTCTTCCACGGCTTCAATAATCACCGTCCACGGTCCTTTGTGTCCAAGGTGATCAGTCCGATTTCTGATTTGTGGCGCCTATAGTACATCTCAGGATTTCTAGGGCGTCGGTAAGCCGAACTGCAGATCATCGAGACCTCTAGTTTCTTCTAGGTAGTTCCTCAGCCGATTGCCTAGAATTGTTTAGAGCAGCTTGCCCAGACAATCTTGCAATCACAGTGGTATATACGATACTGGGTCATCCAGATGCTTGCCTTCTTTTCTCAAGATCACCAGCCTTGCATTTTTTCAGGTTGGCGGGACGGCGCTTTTGGCCAGACACGTGTTGCATATGTACAGTAAGAAGTTTGGGGCTTTGTGTACTACGATTTTGACTGCCTCGTTGGGTAAGCCGTCCGGTCCCGGAGAGACGTTAGGTTTTATGTGACTGGCTCGAACTCGTCACATAACTTCATCCGAGCATCGTCTTTCGCATTCCTAATCGCATATACTAGGTTCATCGTAGCCTTCTTTGCGTTGATTTCCTCAGCCTCTTTCTTTGGTGAAAGGGATTTTGTCAGAGATTTTTTCCGGTCAGGGTGCTGAGTTCTTGGGTCCACCAGTGCACCGACTTCCGTTGTGATGCTCCATGCGACTGTGGTGCGTGGTGGCATTCATCTATGACTGATGTCAAATTATTGGCCCAAGAGTAAACGTCGACACCGTCCATCACGAAGTTGTAAGTCTCGATTGAAGTCAGCGCTGACTTCAGCTTTATGAGATTGATCTGAGAGGGTCTTTTTAGTTCTACATTGATGGAGTGGTAAAACTTCATATCAAATACGATGTAGTGATGATCTATGTAGTAAACTATGTAGTAATAACCTAACCTGCCCCCACCCGGGCATGGCAGAAACCTACGGGTGCCCACAAAAATTCTGCCAAACAAACACACATATTTTCCGTAACACTACAGTACCACAACCTACATCTAATAACTTCAGTTGTCGAAGCTTAAAAAAAAAATTACCATCTTAATTTAATACATGAATTTGGCTTTATTAGTCTTGTTAATTATAGAACTAGAACTAAAGAAACACGAGGATCCTGTTTAGATCGTTTATTTTAAAATCTAATACATTAACAAATGTTAAAACGTTTGTTGTTTATACTTCTTTAACTGATAATTGTTCAATAGATTCCAACATAAGCAACCTGTCTTCAACAGAAACAACCCTCCAAATCCAAAAATCATAAAACAAGTCAATATCTCCAAACCATCAAGTTTATTAAAGAACTATGATGGGTCATTAGTAGTGAACATAAGCAAACAAAAAGATAAATAGAGTATTTCAAAGGACACATTTCTACTTTTCCGGGCACCCCTTTTTTTGACAGTTTTTTGTGGACTTTAGACATAATGTTCCTAATGTTCCAGTAGATCTCACAAAAATAACCAACATACTCTTTTGACTTAACGTTGTAAGCTCGTCAACAATGATACATATTTTTCTTTTGTTATGCAACAGGTCAAGACATAGTTTCTTCCGTATTCCAAATGTTATATGATCAATTACATTGCTACATGCTTCATTTATTTGAAGAATTCTCCCCATATCCAAGAAATTAATTATTTCTACAAATTTTGGCATGTCTGTGTAAGGTTTTTGTTTCATTGCTATTCTTTATGGTGGCCTGAATAATCTTTTTGTATTTTCAATGTCAATATATGAAGTTTTTAATACTTGAGTTGGCATAATTTCCAACTTTTGTTTTTCAATTATACGTTCAGTGTGTAAATAGCTTTAAGAATATTTATGTTTTGAAATTTTTTTTTCTTCAATATGTATGATGTCTCTTAAAATCATCTCCAACTGGATAAATTTCTCTATTCATTCATTCTTGTGAAACATATGTGCCTCGGTGTTTTTTCAATTATAATTGGCCTCAGAACATATTTTGCAACAAATTTTTTTATTATTGAAAAATATTCATGGGTATTCTTTGTAATTGTAATATACTTCACTTGTTTATAGTCCCAACAATCTGGCATATCTGTATTTGGGAAAAAGACTTCATTCTCTGAGGCTTCAGTTTCACTTGCTGCAGTAATATTGCGCTAAAAATTAAAAAAACCTTTAAGCAAAGTTTATAAATATATACTTTACTAATATTTACAATAATTACTTAATGAATAACAAACTAGATTGGAATTTAAAACAAAATATAATAAAAGTGTGAAAATAATTTTATTTATTTTAATACAAATATACAATAAGACATTTTAACACACAAGCCAATTATATAGTTTGATTTATAACAACATAAATTTTCAAAAAACAATGTCTAGTATAAAATATATTCTGCATGCAATTAAAAGCTGCAAAATGTGAACCAATTTCCCGAAGAAAACAATCGGGCAGAATATTTTTAAATGAATCCATACACAGACTCTTAATAAATTTAATTCAAAATTAAAAAATTTATATAAATCCAAAAGCAAAATTATGGCTATTGGCTATAAATGTTCAATAGTATTATTATTATATTGTATAGTACTAAAAGCTAATTAAATAAGCCTGCAGAATAGTATAAAATGTTTAATAATAACAATACATGATTTAAATAATTGCCCATTGTTTAATAGTTAATCAATTGCAAATTAACTATTTTGAAAAATAGTTGTAAGACTGTTAGAATGACTGAATTGTGTAAAGTTCTTTTTTAAACAATGTTTGTGGCAAGTCATATGCATAACAATCTCTCATATATAATACGGATTGTATTATGATTGTAGAATCAATTTTACTGAAAATTGATTTGCTTTGAAATTAAACACTAAATAATATACACTTTTGAAATCTAACTGTAATTATACATCTGTCTTTGAATTAAATTAAACAAACAAAATTATTATTATTAATCCAATCCAAAGACCAAAACAATCTAACACCTACATTATTAAAGGCATTTTTATTTTATTATTTTATTAGGTAGGTATACATTATTTTATATTACATTATCG